TGAGCAGACTAAAGACACAACCTACCTCCTTGAAATCTTGGTTTGAAAGAAACATGGCATCCAAACACATTAGAATGGCTAAGAAAGCCACTAGGGGACATTCGGAGCTTTCGATTAATTATTCATGTCATATATATATATATATAAATGGAAAGAGGTGGTCAGGGTGCCACTGTGTTTAATTTATTACATGAGCAATATCTTAGCAAATAGAAAAGATAAGAGGTTCTGATTTTATATTCTAGCTTGTCAACATCAGTAATTTGAGTTCCCAATTCACATGAAACTATAGACTTAGTATTTTGACATCACAAACATCTAATTAGATCCAGTGCTGCATTCAACATACCACATAACATACAAAAATCAATGTGATTTTTTAATATTTACTTTTAAATTAAGAAATTGAGTGGTGTATAATACTCAAATTTGAATTATATTCTACAATTTTATACCAAACTTATTGACATAACTTCATTAAATAGTAGTTCAATAACATTTTGAATGTGATTCAACAAACACGATGACATGGCTTTTCACCCATGACCCGTATGGAAAGGGATAATACATATGATCACTTTGTGCAAATGTCTCATATCTGTCTGACGAATGAAATGTTTCACCTGTGAACAAGACATTCGCCCACATGTAATATGACTAACACGTCCCTGCTAAACAAACTGTGTGAGACTTGTAGCTTTGATGCAGTGACTTGTGCTTGACTTACTGCTTTCTATATCATGGAAAGGTCCAATCACTGGGGTCTTGGTATATTCTATTATCAGTCTGGATCATTTACATACCATTGTTGTTCAAACTACTAAGTGAGAACATGCTGTGTTTCCTTCATATTTAAGTGTCACTGAATTGTACATATAATCAGTCACACATTTAATAACAATAGTTGTGCTTTGTAACAGTTATAATAGAGAAAACTGATTTTCCCTCACATGTTTTAAGCAATGTATTCTCAAATAACAATGAATTTTGACACTTCACAGAAAATATATGCCAATAAAAACTAAAGAACACACACGTGGAAAACAACAGAACTTACATTCCTTTTCCCTTTCCCTTGTCAGAGTTATCTCTACTGTTGGATGTCAGATCTTTGTCTATTTTTGAGAGAGGTTCCTGGGACTCTTGTCTCAAAACATCTTTCTGCTTCATACTTTCTGCATTGTGCTTTATCATAAGCTATAGAAAAACACAATAACTATGTCATCACATTAAAGCCACCCAGCTAGTAGTTGACTCATTTATTAATCATATATTTAACAAAACCATATAACCTTAAAAAAAATATATTTCTGATAGTGAAAATGTTTAAAAAGTTCACAAGATCAATACATTATTTTTGTAGTATTAATAACGTTCCACATTTTTCTGAGTTAGATTCAAATTCGACAACTGATTAGATAACACTCTTTAACCAAAATATGTAAAGTATAAAGTTTACCACTATTACAGTTAATGACTATAATTCAATCTGCTTGAATACCTGTTCCATATAAAAATACTGTGTTTCTCTACTCTGTGATGTTGGCAAAAATACATGAATACCCTGTTCCGTATATACAAACTACAGAGCAGCCTCTAAAATGTAACTGCCACACAACTCTATTTTTTGAGGGTCATTTTTACTAGTGAAGTAAGCTAATACACTTATGTCAAGCTCAGTTAAATCATATTCAATTACAAGGACCCGTGTCAATAATTTCCTTATCATTAGGTGATAAGCTTACTGGTACAAGCAAGTTTCAAGTTTGGACAACCACCAAATAATGGAAAGTAAACACATATAATTAATCAAGTTAGATTCCACATTTGAACTTAACAAGTAAGTTTCAAAACCATATTATTCACATTCTTTTCTTTCAAAAATTTGTAAATTCTCCAGTAATATTTTAATGATGTCAATATTCTAAAATTTCACTGGTTTAAAACCTAGTCTGGATCATTATTGGTGCAAGACAAGTTATTTGTTTTAGCTTATTACACTCTAGTATAATGATTTTTATGCTCTTTCATTATAATAGTATATTGTATAAAAGCTGGACTCTTATTATGTTATTCTGTTATATAATAAACTGTGTTATAAATAGGTAAACTTTTGTATTACTTACATGTTACATCTTACCTGCAGGCATTATTATGTTATTTTGTTATATAATAAACTGTGTTATAAATAGGTAAACTTTTGTATTACTTACATGCTACATCTTACCTGCAGGCATTATTTACATAAAGTAGCCTTGTAAAGGAACCATGAAAAATTCCAGATCATGCTAGTCATTTTTAGCGCATTTCAAAGCAGGGTCGGAAAATCTGACAACTTACAGATCAAATAATCTAAAACCTATATTCAATACTGTAAATACTCATGTATTAGTCAAGTTTATTTGTTATTAATATTTAGGCCCCAAATTTTCCCTCTGCTTATAGGCAAGTCTTGAAATTACATCTTTACTAATAGACTTTAAAATGATTCAGAGTTCAATACAAACATAAAAAAATGTATTTATTGTGTCATATATATACATATATACACATACATATAATGAGTCCATACTCTTCACCTGCTGAAACCTTTATAGGCAAGAAATGTTATACTTCACCATATAATGTTTTAGTTTTAAGCAGCCAACAGCTACACACAACACACACAAAGAAAGAGTTATATGAAATAAAAGCCACCATGTGGTAAGATATATTGATGCATCAATGAAAATACATAGAACTTGTATTAATGAGAAAAAAAGATGGCCAGCTAACTCACGAGAAAAGACATTGTTTTTTTTTTTACTGTAGAAGGTGAGGCCAGGTACCTAACATATACTTGTGAATTTTTATCCCTGTCTTCAGCCTGATGGATGATAACACCTACCATACTAAATTGGTCAAAACATTCCTTGAAGAAAAGGAATTGATCAAAATTGAGTGGCCTGCATGCTCAATGGACTTTACTTCCATGAAATATATATTAGAAGAGTTGATTTGCATCTCTGAAACTACAGACACTAAAAAGTCAATGAAAACAGTTCTTTCAAAGTAGTTAGTAGGAGGTTGACACTATCCATACACATGGTAGTGAGTTGTGTGGCCAAAACAACCTGCATGGCACACAGTGTTACCAACAGGAGTAATAGTTTAGCAATTTTCCACTTTCTGTAGCTTGGACTGTGGCAATCCAAATTATCACATTCTCAGTGGATGTTTCTACTGAACCCTTACTACACATACCCAATTTCAAGGCAATCCATTAAGAAATACCCGAGATATAACATCTCCAATTTTGATTGAGTTTCTTCCTTTTTTTTCTCCTCACCAAAAGTACAGAGGCTTTATTTGATAGAAAAATATACTTAATTTTTATGGAATTATTTCAAATTTGGTATACTGATAGATCTTTAAACTTACAATTAAGATGTTGAATTTGGTCCAAATATAAACTACATGTGCAAAGTTATTTAACAAAAACTACTTGATTTTGACCAAAATTTTTGCACCCACCTATGCAAAAAGTCATGTGAACTATTGGTCTAACATTTTTACCATAGCTACACCTAAGAGTAAAGGTGGAAAGTTGAGTTTTTGTCATGAGGATTAAAGATTGCTGATTTAGAGCAGCAAAACTATAGTGAAAACACATGCAGATACATAAGTATTGGTTAGGCCAAGCAAACTAGATTAGCAGTTTTTAGCTCAATTTTTCAAAAGAAACATACAGGTGTTTGTTTATTATTCATTATTCACTGACAATTGTTAAGCACAAATTGGCTAAATTTGATGAAATTCTCCTAATTAAAGAGTGTTTAGTGTCACAGGATATTAGCTTAAGCAATTAGCATAAATAATGATGCTTGATACGGCTGTTCTGAGTGCATGGGGGTGATGACAAGAAACTATTAATCCAGTTTCCATGGCATTAATATTAGAGAGGAAAACTACCACCATATATTTTAAAGAATCTGATTGGTTCTGTAAAGATCTGTTCTGATTAATAGGGTTGCAGTCCTAAAGCTAATGTTAATTACTATTGAATGTCACTTTCTTAGTTGCTGTGGTTTATTGGTATGTATTGATAATAAGTAATGATATCTAATCAAAAACACCTTAGGTGTGAATAAAAAAGTGCAGCAAAAAAACAACAAGAAACAAACAAACAAAAAAATTAAATGTGTGACTTAAAGAAATGAAATCAAAATTGGTGCCCATACTGGTAGCTACACTCATAGCATTGATAAGAATTTTACAGCAAATATTCATTCATCAGTTAGCTACACCACATATTCAGGGATTGAAATAATGAAATAAAATTAAATTCTCTCGACATAAAGCTATCAGGAAGATTACATTCCCTCATGTAAAGTTGCATTTCCTCATGATTTTTTAAATTCAATCCATGCAATATATTCACTTTCATTAGTCATAACTAAAGGAATACAGATGGACCATACATTCCTGATAGGGAAAACCAACTAAACAGATGAAATTCCTCAAGCAAAGTTACATTCCTTGGAAATGTAATATTTTGATCCCTAAAATTTTGTTTTACCACCATTATGCCCCATGTTGAACAAAAAACAAAATTTGTTAGAGTTGTGAAAGAGGAGCAGGAAGAGTCATATGACACAGAGATGAGAGATAGAACAGATCATACCTGTTATAAAGTCCCAATAACATGAGGAAGTTTGAATATTCTCCTCTATAGGAAGAGAGGTTTTTAAGGCATAACCAAAAGGATGAAACAAATGGTCAAACTTATCTTCCTCTTCACTCTCCCGTTCGGGAAGAGTGGAAGAAATGCCAAATGAATGAACAGGCACCAAAACTCCTGTTTGTATAATGAAACTCACTATCCTATGCAGTATGGCTGTTATGTCATCCACATTTAATATGCCTCCAGTAGCCATGTTTGAAACATGACTTGTGTGAGGAGATTCCTCACTTACAGAAGGTGAAGAAGTTATGTGAACAAATTTCATTAATCTACTGATACATTCAGTGCTGAGGAAAAAGAATGAAGATCATGAGTGCAAGAGCATAGAGATTAGTGCACAAAGAGGATGTGTCACCCTCTATTTACTGCATAATAAACACAGTAGTGCAATTCATAAGAAATCTCTTGATTTAGGTAGGAGTTGCCTAAAGGCTAGTAGCATGCAAAATCTTTAAACGGGGAGGATAGCTTTCTGTGTGAAGAGGTATGTATCATCTCAGAACTTGTGTAACAGATATTCAAATACACCAGAAGATTTAGAATCTCCACTCTTGACTGGCTCACAAAATGCTTCCAGTAACAAGGTTTAGTGTTTTCCAGCTGTCTTGTAGAAAAAGCTGGGTAAGTTTAATTTATTAAACAGTAAAGCCTTGCTATAACACTCAAATAAATCAAAAATCTCAATTCCACTGCTTCAGTGATTTACATTTCTTAATCTCAGTTCTTTTCTGGCATAATTTAGCTTTTCTTTTAAAAAGTAGCAGAGGAAATCTACCATCAACTTAGTATGCTTAACATCTTAACTACTGAATCTTGTGAGGCTAAACCAGAATAATAGTGATAACAATATTTCTCTACATTTTATTGTTCTAGAAAAACTCACAGTAAGATAAATGTATGACAACATTAGAACACCTTTCACTGATGATGACTAAAACCTTGTCGAAATGTTGTACATTTGCTGTTATGTTAAACTTATATCAAAGTTTTTCTTCATTACCCATTCAAGCCATCTCCAACCATTATTAGTCTCAAAGTGGGTTCCTCGTCATCGAACCTTTCATTGTAGATTACTTTTAAGCATTTTCATTAAATCCAAATACAATACAGAAAACCAACAGCATCACTCAATTGAAACTCAGCAGTTATATAACATCTCAATAATACAAAAATAATTTTGATGATTAAGGTCCTAAATAAGAGAGCCTGGGTTACAAAACTTTGTCCAAGAGCAGAAAATAATAAAGTAAATAATGCAACTAAAAGTGATTATGAAAATCAGGTGCATTCAGATGAAAGTCTTCAAAATATACAAGTAGGTAGATATACTCGAATAACTATTTGAGGAACAACCATAAAAGAAAACAGACCAAAACATTCAAGCAATGAACTTTAAAGTCACAAAAAGCAAAAATAAAAAAAAAGATTCAGATCGAACTAATTAAGAACATTTAAAGCACTGAGTTATACTAGAACTAATTAGGAGAATTTTGAAAGGTACTACAACAAAATGGTATTAAACAAAGAACAATACACATTAAGCAACATCTCTTGAGTTTAAATGCCGAGGAAGAAAAAAACCTCTTAAGTAGTTTAACAATAGAAAATACTGCACATACACATACAAGTGAACTTTGTTGACAAGTGATATCACAAAGATCAGAGCTGTAATGGACTGAGATGCTAATGTTATTCTCTATCCTTCTGCATGATTTCTATGAAGGTTTTGAAAGATCTACAGTATTTGCCCGAATATAATGCTCATCCAATTTAGAAAGGTTAAACTGAAGGAAATTTGTTTTTCTATACAAAATGTACTGAATGGTTTCTAAATACAGTAAAGAACTGTCAATGTATTAGAACATTTTTGGAAATTTTTCGCTGAACTTTTTTTTTCCATTCCAATTTTACAAAATTTATTGAAAAGATTATACATGGTAATAGACTAAGCTAATCATTCATCTTCATATAAATCTTCTTCATTGCTAGAATTGTCATTACCATCGGATTTGCTTCATCCTCTTTTGATTCTCACAGCTTTTCATCATTCATCTCATCCATTGTACTTGGATTTTTTGAAACATAATGCTGCTTTAATGATTTTCAGTGTTAGCTTCTAGTAAAATACCTAACAAAATTGAATGTGCACGAATATAATATGCAGTCAGTTTTTCAGGAGGTATTTGGAGGGAAAAAAGTGTGCATTATATTCAGGCAAATATGGTAATTGGTGAAATTGAAAAGTTTAATGGAAAGAGTGCATAGCGTATCTCACAGTGTTCCAATATACTGTTTTAGTTTTTCTGAGCTTCTAAAGGTAAAGTAAGCAAAGCTACAAAGATCAAACCAATAAAAACTGGATTATAAATGAAGAAGTTTACAAAACTATTGAAGTTGAGTCAAACTGATACTTCAATAAGATCAATTCAACATAAAAGTTCATGACAGTAGCAACTACAAAAATAACACAAGAAAATTATAAATGTATAGATACATTAAAGGATAAAATAAAATAAAGCTTTACAAAACAAAATGAAGGAATACAAAGAATAATCAAAAAACAACGGAGTAAAAACAGTATTTATACTAACTGAGACTTCATGGCATATTAAGGGAGTAAATCTTTCACTCCAAAATACTGGCACCAACTGAGGCTGTAGGGAACAGTGGGTTAATCTTCCCAGAAACAATATTGGCACTAACTGACACCATGTGTTATAATACATAACACTTTAAAACAAATCCAAGTTTTTAAAGATAAGGTAGACTCATTAATTATATGGCATGTAACAGGAGCTTTTTTGAGAATACTGAATAAACTCAGTGTATTGATGTGTACTTTATACAATTTAAAATAAAGCTTTTGTTATGTTCCATTAATTGCTTTTCTACAAAATCTCATGTAATTTACAACAACTTTCAGATGTACTGTATAAGAAATAGTTACCTGCTTTCTTCCATTTTGATTTTCTTTACCTTCCATAACTTAACCCCTAGAGAACAAAAAAATGCATTACTATAACTGACAAAATTGTTATACATCAAATTAGAATAATCATAAAATTGAAAAGTGCTATTAGACAGCTCCATAGTGGACCATTGATAGAAATCACACTTAACTCCATTGGCATTTAGCTTTTCTACTAAAACTTTCTTATAATACAAATTAATTCTTACTTTCCTACAGTTTCTCCAATAGAAAACTCAAAATACCAAGTTACAAAAAGGTACAGCATATTGGAATCATAGCTTCTAGCAAAGTTTGGAGAATGTTTATGTTAAAAATACAAGCACACACTGATATAGTTTTATCCTTCCTTGAACAAAATCTCAAAAAAATAGTAGTCACAAATTTTATGTAAAATTAATGTACACCACTTCTCTAATATGTGTAAAATAATAAAACTTAACTTGCTCGATGGTTAGGGAGCTTGGAAAACTGGAATAAACAAATGGGAAAGCAAAGGCAACAAGGATTTTCAAAATAGGAGATTTAGAGCATAAGTTAATTCAGTTAAATATTTTTTTAAAAAACATTATGTCAGATTTAAGCATAGTAGAACCTAGAACAGGTTCAATTACTATTATTTTAATTTCAGGAGTATTAGAAACAAAATAATATATGAAGGACAACAAGGGGCCCATCCCTCAAAGCTGTTCCATTCATTTCATCAAACACTCATCTGGCTATATCCATCCATCAAACTTTTTCTACATATCTCTCATTCCTGCTACACCTACCACATCTTCAGATAACCGATACCTATATATAAATTAAATGAAATTTTAGATTCTAATTTTCAGATATTCAATTGCAAGGCCATGAGACAAGATTTACCAGTAATGAATTGGGGCAATGAGTTCAAAGGTAATGCATATCAGATTTGGTAAATTTTAAATAGATAAACTTAAAATTCATTATATACATATTGCTAAAAAGGATAACAAGGAAGACCAAACTTATAATTGACTTACTAAAGACAGAGGAGAAAATCAGAGGAAAATACTGTAAATTTAAAAGTTTAAATAAATAAATAGGCTGGAGGATTTACAGAATCACAGGAACATTATGGATTTGGTTAAAAAAGAAATTGGAAAATTTATAAGGGTTTACGAGAAACAGTTGACTGATAATGATAAAAACTTACCAATAACAATTATTTTTATATTAAAGGTCAACAAAACATTAGAATGGGAATTTGACCCTTTAAAGATGTCAATATCAATTCCTTGGTGGTAAATAGATATTAAAAAAAATAAATCAAGACCAAACAAAGATTTTCCCAGGGTTCTACAGTAGGCTAAAGGCAAATACTGTATGAAAGCCTCATTTCAGTAGATCAATAGACAGTGGGTAGGTGACTGAGAAATGCAGTTGCTAATGCTATATTATTTTTTTTAGGATGTTACTTGTTATCTGGACATAGGAAAGGGTATAGACTTTATTAACTTAGACTTAAAAAAGCTTTTAATAAGTTGCCATACAAATAATTAGCTAACAAAATCATATCAGTATGAACTAAGGAAAGATTAGCTAATTAGATTGTATGGTATTGGCTATTATTGGAGTCCAGTCAAACTGAACATGCATTTCAGGAGAATGCCTCAGACGTCAGTGCTTGGGCCTTTGTTTTTTTTAAATTTACATTAATAATGTTGATAGGAGGATAGTTAATAAATTAGTAGTTTGATTATGGCATTAACTTCTGGGGTAGTATTTCTAGCTGTACTGCGGATGTTGAGGCATTACAGAATGACTTCTTTCAATTGGTAAGTTTGACAAATGTTTAGCAAATGACTCTTAAATGTAAATTAAAGTATCTGGGTTATAAATGTATATAATATAAATCAGAATCCCCTCAATAGCATGCTGAAGAAAAGGATCTTGGCATAGTGGTGAAATTACTCAAGCCATCAAAGTGCTCTGTTGTTAGTAGTATATTAATATCTTTATTTTATTTTATTTATAGATGCAATGATTACAACTCAAAGGAGGTAATTATCTCTATAGAAATCATTAGTTAGGCCTCACTTAGAATACTTAGTTTTTATCTCCTTATCTAGAAAGGGTATTGTTGGAGAGGGTAGGGGTCAAAGGAAGGCTACTAAGATAATTTCTGGAATGAAAGGGTTATCTCTCTCACAAGGATAGATTAAACCTCAACTTATTTTCTCTTGAGAAAATAAGTATATGAGATAATCTTACTGAAAGTAACAAGATCTAACTGGAGAAAAGATAGATTTCCTTGTGCCATATTCTGAAGATAATAGGGAGAAAGAACAAAAGTTTAAGGTTTCGTAGACAGGTTTGGTTCCACTTAAGCTAGTTTTATTATTTTAACACCATGAATGACTTATTGAACGAGTTTCTATCAGCAGTAGTGTGATTAATACTTTATAGTAACTTAAAATAATCAATAATCTCTAATAGAAATAAAGTACATTTACTTTTTCAATGGTGGTTGTGCAAGGATAACTGTGAACGACCAAATGGTTCCTTGTTTGTTATTATTCATACAACCTTACACGCCACAGGGCTTACTGACTTTGCTTTCAGTTTCAGTAGTGCTTATATACGCGATAGTCATGCACCTATTACTCAAAAGGCTTAGATACATGACAAGTGCCTGATGTTTATGGGTATACATGTACAAAGCCACACTGATTGTTCATGTGTTACTAAGTATTTAAATTTGACATGAAGCAGGTTTTTGAGACATAATATACAAAGGTATGGGTTTGAAGATCCCAGAGCCAGCATTTGAATCTGACCTGTGATAATTCATATTTTGAGCAATTTTTTCTTCATATTTCTCTTGCAATAGCTAATGCATGGAAGTTTCTTATTTACACAAGTAACAGTATAGAAAGTTTAAATGTTACTTACCTTTGCCTGTGATAAGAACCATGATCATCATGGATAGATGTACTATATTTTCTACATCATCTATGTTTAGCCAGATTATGTTACTGTTAGTGAAGGCTATAATAGGCTAGATTTGGTTACCTTAGGTGAGGTTATAATTTGTAACTCGAATAGTTCCAACTAGTAATATCAATGTTCCATAAGTCGTGTATATAGTCAAAGCTACACATTGTCTGGTCAATTAACTTGATTACCTATGAGCATCAATTAAATAGATTAATGTCAAGAAAATAATCAACTGATTAAAATATTGTCATTATGATTTCTCATTCTCAATTAGTTATTTTCAGCTTAAATGATTAGTGTCATAAACAATGAAATACGTGTTAAACTGGCATTTTGTTAATTCAAATTAATGTTTTTTGGACTTGCTTTGCACTGGTGTACAAAATAATGACTAATTTATACCTTTTATCTCTAACAAGTGAAATGGAAAGTGCTGTTAAGTTTGTCCTTTTGTACAATAAAGATATACCTTAAGTACCCACATGCTTGATATCTTCAATATATTTGTGTTTGTATAAAACCATAAACTTGGTCTCTAAGTCTATGCAACTTATGTTAACCTCTTCCTACAAGTGATCTCATTATTCACTGTTATATTTAGTATGATTTATAATCAATGTCAGGAAATAAGGTTTAATTTCATCAGCAAAAATTCAATAGTTTTAATAGTTAAGTCAGGTGAAAATTTACAGGGTGAAACCAAGAAATGGTAATAATCTTATTTCTAGCTTATTACAGTTTTTAACTACATTATGTATGTAATATTTTTGCACGTACATCTGACTGAAAAAAAAATATTTGTCAGTTGTTGTACTTGAAGTTGTATATCAGATTAAACAAATGGTAATTTAAAAATTATTTTAAAAGAAAAAAAAAATTAAAATTAGTCTAATGCAAAAATAACTGGTTAGTTGAATGTAGTCAGTTAATGAACCCAATGATTATTCTATTAACAACTTCCAGTAATCATCCAGCTCTAATGTAGGTCATATACTGTTTTAATTTGAGTACATACATGATGGTTGTGTAGGAGTTTTGATTTCACTGTATATACACATATACATTATTCCGACTATGTATAATACTGAGAACAGCGTAACTGGTGGAGAAGGAAGGACCAAAGGGCCATTGCCCAACCAGTTTTAATAAACTAAACTTTGTAAACTATGTGAAAAACTTATGTTTACAATAAAATATTCTCAAATACATTTCATTGAATTATAGATGCAATATTCAAACAAATAAAGCATTGTCAGAACCTCCACATGATTGGCCTTCCCACTTTTGCAGTCCTTCCAACACTTATGGAGGACAGTATTGTTTATTTGACAATGTAGTTCAACTAGGTTACTTTACACTAGTACTATATAAAAATCCATAATTGTTGTGTGTGTGTGTGTGTGTGTGTGTGTGTGTGTGTATACATAGTCAAAATTATAGAGTCTGAACAACTGTATATAGCCTCAGCCTTTAGTTTTAGAGCCCATTTGGCATTTGTAACTGTTGCAATGACATGCCCTTTCATGGTATACATTGGTTACACTTAAAGCATCAAACAACAAATAATTTGATATAACTTCATCTTCCAACATCAAGCTTGTTATTTTTTCACTATAACCAAAAGTCTACCTATAAAATATTTTAATTCTACGTTCTTGTGTAATTTTTCCATCAACATTGCAGAAATTATAATAAAATAAAAATTTATAAATATTGTGAAATCCTTCTTAGTTCAGCATCACAATCAGTGTGCACAATAACTTGAATAAGAGACATGTCATTCAAACAGCAAGGCAACTGAGAATGCAGTTAGTCAGATAATAGTTAAAACCTCAAAATAACAACTACTAAGCTACTTCACATCCAGTGTGTTCAAACATGGTCTGTCAATATCATTATAAATATAATTTACAAATGCAATACATTGGGTGTAGCCTTTTCACCATTTTAACTGTAAGACCTATACTTATACTTTATAAATCAAAATTACTAATACAGTAATAATACTTTACATCAGTAATGTTAGTACTACTACTACAAGCATTAAGAGTACGAATAGGATAATAATGATAAAAAAACGTTTGACACATTGATAATAATATTAGTAATTTCTCATGTTGAGCAAGACTACTCAAGTCTATTTACTAATAGTAATATTAATAATACCATTAGTATTGTAATTATTACTTCAAACTAAATTAAGCTTCTTGGTACTAACATTAGTAGATTTACTATTGCTAAAAGTAAAATAGCCAGTAAACTGAATAAGTAAATTTAACTAAGCAGGCCTAGTACTAGTACTATAGTAGTAAGGATGCCTCCAGAATACTATTCCATGGTTAACTTACTTACTACTTAGTTTACATTTGTTAAATTGTTTTTTGAGAGGTAGTTATTGAACTTACGAAAAATATGAAGTTTTGAGACAGTTATTCGTTGGATAACAGATTTATTTTTGTATAACGTTGTATACAATTAAATTCATTAATAATAATATTATCCCACGAATAGTTGTCTCAAAATTTCATATTGTTAGTGTTACTAGCACTACTTACATTGTCCTACTCCTAGTCTTCGGTTACACAATTTACATTTATAAATTACAGACACATAAACGCAGTGGAATGTAGCATTTGAGCTATGTCGCTTGTTTTGGCTTTACGAAAAAAAAAAATGTATTAAATACCTTCTCACCCAAAAAATATGGAAAGTAATTATCTGATCACTTCAGTCAACGTTTGTCTTCCACACTAACCTATACTATAGTTTAAATTTCCTGTGCAAATTTCCTATTGGGCGTCAGTATTAAGAATTGTGGTTGGTTTAAACTGACGGTTTACGACGTGACTCTGCTGGCAAAAATGATAAACTTTTAAGATTAATAAATCTTTTCAAATTAGCATTATGTTTCTTGTCTGATTTTTTATTGTGATATCACAAGCATATATTTCAAGTAAATGAAAATATGATAAATTTTATTGTATAACAACAACAACAACATTATAAAAACGTACATCAGTTTCTCACCAATGATCTTTATTACTGCAAATGTAGCATTGTAAATTGAGTTATTATACTATGAACCAGAAAAGTAAAATTCTTTATCAGAGATTGTACATTCTTAAATTTATTTTGCATAGCTTTCTACGTTTTTCATGTTCTTTTGTCATTTATCTAAAGTTTCGTTCACGTTCTCGTTATTATTTTCAGACGCACTTTTTCAATGCCTTTCTAATTTTGTGAATTTGTTTTCTCTCTTCATTTCAAACACTTTAACTTTTCTTTCTAAAACTTCGTGTTGCTGCTGCTTTAAAATTTTACAAAATGTTTTTATCCCTAAAGCAATATTCAACAAGATACGTGGCCATTTTTAATGAAACATCCTACACCCAACTCTAAATTATATGTCTTGAGCTGTCACTGAATTTTTAAAAAGAATTTACAGATGATTCACACAGCTGTCGAATATACACTTCTGATTTAAAATAGAAATAAAATAATTCAAATATTATACACTTTATTGCATAGGCGGTATTTAACGTATGTATTTGGGGTTACGAAATTACAATGTAATAAAGTTTGTTTATTTGTTTAATTTCCACCAAAACTATTCGAGGGCTATCTGTGTTAGCCATCTCTAGTTTAAAAGTAATATACCAACGCGACAGCAGCTAGTCGACACCATTTACGCCAATTCTTAGGCTATTCTAATCATATAGTGGGATTTAACGTGACACTACAACGCTCCTGCAGCTGAAAGGCAAACATGTTTAGTGATGTTATTCGAACCTGGACTCATGGATTGCGAGTCAAGCGTCCTAACTGCTAGACCGTGTCAGATCCTGGAGGTAAATAGAGGAGTGTTGGTTAACCATTCAGCTAATGGAGGAAAATCCTAATGTAAGACAAAAAAGGTTTAAGTAACTTAAATATCAGTATAGTTAAAGATCAGCACTGTATTGTTTGTGGATATAACTAGAGGGAAATAAAACTATGAGGGAAATAAAAAACATAAAAATGGTGGAAAATTTGGTATTGCCGTCATAATTCTACCCAATACCTCCCCCAGTGACTCAGCGTTAAGTCTCAATGCTTACGTTACAATTTGGGTTTCAATATCTGCTGTGGACAGAGCACAGACAGCCCATTGTAGCTTTGTGCTTAATAGCAAATAAACAATCCACGCAATACTCAGTTGCTGCCTGTGCAAATTCTCACCCAATACTTTCTAAAATTAACGAAATAACGGTCTAAAGTTCTCTTTAAACTTTATTCGGTAGTATCCAAAAACAGGTGCTTTGAGAATTAAGCACACCCACACCACGTGATGTATATAGCATGAGCTACGCCTATTTTTCGTAGTTTGTTAACAATATTATGAAACACTAGATGCAACATGTCCCGTAGGTAGGTCATCCACAGAACTTTATATATACTAGGCCTAGCCACCATTTTGGAGCAGTCAAATTTCCTCGGCAAAACTGATAAGAATAATTAATATCAGTATTGTTGCGTCAGCGAGATCACGTGACTATTGTCACGCCACCTGCTTTCTAGAACTATCCCGTTCCTTCGGGAGTGCTCTAGCATTTACTAGATTGGGGGGTAGTCTGGTATATATATAAGATGGTCACGGCGTGACGTGACAATAATGTGTGTGTAGGTAGTGAGTAATTGAACTGCAGTCAGGAAGTATTGTTGAAGTTAACGTTCGTTGTTAAAAAGTTTGTAAAAGAGCGACTGTTGAAAATAAGTGTATCGGTAAAGTTATATTCAGAAAGAATAAACCAGTTTTATTCAGTAAGGACTTGTGTCGCTAAAGTTTCGTCGGAACGAAGTTACGAAAATCAATTAACGACTGGAGGCTTAACAAATTGGTGTCAGAAAGTGGGATAAGAAAAAAAAAAGAAGAAGAAAAACAGAAGATGGAAACGAGAAGCGGCAAATCAAACTACAGTTTAGCAGATTTGATGGCAGCAATACGAGAACAGCAAAAGAAACAAGAAGAGAGACAACAGCAGTTGCAAGAAAACCTGCAACAATGGCAGCTCGAACAACAAAATAAACAAGAAGAACGAGAAATTAAACAAGAAGAGAGATTACAGCAGTTGTTGGAGGAAAAAGAAAAGAAACAAGAAGAGAGACACCAGCAGTTGCAAGAAAACCTACAACAGTGGCAGCTCGAACAACAAAATAAACAAGAAGAGAGATTACAGCAGTTGTTGGAGGAAAAAGAAAAGAAACAAGAAGAGAGACACCAGCAGTTGCAAGAAAACCTACAACAGTGGC